CCTCCAGGCAGGCTTTTCTTACTGATATTGCTTGATGTATCCCAGTCTGATGCATCTGTAAGAGGTGAAAAAAAAAATGGAGCCATCCACTACAACTTAAGCTGAACAATTTTGATGCAGTCTTGATAAGAACTCATTCTGACCTTCAGCATAGTCAAAATCTCCCAAACCAAGTTCCTCCATCAGGTCTGTCAAAGAAGCAAAGAAAGAAAATGTACGTATTCAAAAGAACAGAAGAAATAATGCCTCAGGTTTGTAAACTTACTGACCTGTTTTTTCCTTGCTTTTTCCTTCACATTTGCTCAAAAGCAGTCCCCATTTGGTCTCCTCATTCTAGCAGTGTGAAAATCACCCATTACTATTCCATATATACAAATAAATAAATAAATAAATAATACCGTCATTCTGGTGATGAGCTTTTACCTCTTTTTGCGTTGGATCCTCTTTTTGAACATCTCTGGTGTCTTTACTTTCAGCAACAGATGGAACAGCACCAAGGCCTGCTAAGTGACAGAAGTCATTTCAGGTCGTAATTTGAACCATGTTGCATTCAGCCCAAACAAGCTCACACTAGTCTGCCAGAAGAAGTTTATTATTTTTTTTAACGAAGCCAGAAGTGGAAACAGTTCAGTGCCAACATTTGAGGGGTCAGCTGTAAATGAGCATCTTCATCGCTGTCTGTCAAGATGATCAAATTGAGAGTATGAAACTTGAAGCACTTTCATGGACAAATAGACAGTAAAAAGAGAAACTATGTACTTCCAATATGATGGATGGACTTGATGACACCGACGTCCAAGGAAAGATGTCATGCAAATGAGATGCAGTTAATGAAAATACCTGATATTTGGAAATTTTAAGCATTTAGATCAGTGGTTCTGAACCCTTTTAGAGGTACCGAACCCAACCAGTTAATATGCACATTCACCAAACTCTTCATGAGTGAAAAATAAATAAATAAATAAACAAACAAACAAATAAATAAATAAAATTTACAAATTCAAGATATAAAAAAACGCATTTATTATAAACAGAAAAAGGAAATAAAATCTCAAGAGATAAGTATACTTTTTTTTTTTTATTGTACGACGTACTATCACTACAGTCACACGCTGACAACAAAGCGAACTCAATTTCCCAGAGCACTGATTGGACAAGCAATGTCATGTGATCATCTGCAGCCAATGATGGCCAAACGGGCGTGTCATAACTAATTAACTTGTTGATCCGCGTGTGTCTTACCCTCAATGGCAGAGGCTCCGTCGAACCCCTGGGGTTTAATCGAACACAGGTTAAGATCCACTGATCTCGGTCAAAGGTGGGCACTTAATTTTGCAAAAGGGCCACACAAACCTGGAGCGCTTGCCGAAGTCCAAGCTAACATGCTAATTTTAGAAACGTTGCCACTCGTCCACATAAGTTTCATGGAAATCAAATAGTCCAGTTTTGGGGAAATTCTGCAAACTCAACGTGATCATGGCCAAGTGGGCGTGTCATAACTAATTAACATCTTGAGTCGGGTGTGTCTTACCCTGCATGGCAGAGGCTCCGTCGAACCCAGGTAAGAACCACTGATTTAGATTCCATGTTTCGTTTTGGTGACAAAAACTCACACTAACGTCTAAATTGCAGCTGACAATTTTCGTTCTGACTCCCCAATTGCTATTCCCCTTTTTGGCAAACTATGAAGCAGAGTGATGGTTTGAAGAGCGAGAATGCCATTCATGAACCGTGCACGTATGCCGCATGCATTCTGTGAAAAGCATTCATGAGTAGATGGTCGGGTATCGTGCACAGGTAACATGCCGTTGCCCAAAATGAACACGGTGACCGTTGACATTTCCTACCCACTCGCAGGCTGCCTCTTTGCCTGCCCTGACTACAAAAATAAAAACGCAACAGGTTGTTTTGGCTACATGAAACCACACAACACCGAAGTGTATTAAGAAAACCGGTTTCTCGAACATAAAAGGATTAAAAACAAAAAAAAGTTCATGACATCTTACCATCTTCCATCTTCTCTCCAACAGTATTCTGTGCTTGTATGGTTTGTTGATCTTCACGTGACAATTTCTGGGCTTCATGCTGGTGATGAAAAAATAACATACGTTTTTTTTTTGTTGTTGTTGTTGTTTTTACGCAAAGAGAGTTGAAAGAACATTTATACCAATGTGTGTATTCAACGTACTGTACCTCATAATCACAAGAGTCCTGCTCTTCCTCTTCCCTCTCGAGACACGACTCTGAGCAAACACCTGAGATTTTCAAAATAAATGCATTCATTCAAATTATGGAAAAGGAAGGAAAAGAGGAGTAACTTGTGTAGCAGATGTATCATATCATACATGTCAATTGGCAGCAGATCGACAAGCACGTTAGCCATAAAAGTGGCTTTACTCAACTGCGGCGGCCAAGGCACTTGTAAGACATGAGGCTTTTTAAAATGTATTTATTTGTACATTGTTTCTGTGCTTGTACGGTTTGTTGATCTTCACGTGGCAATTTCTGGGCTTCATGCTGGTGATGAAAAAATAATAACATACGTTTTGTTTTGTTTTTTTAGGCAAAGAGCTGAAAGAACATTTATACCAATGTGTGTATTCAACGTACTGTACCTCATAATCACAAGAGTCCTGCTCTTCCTCTTCCCTCTCGAGACACGACTCTGAGCAAACACCTGAGATTTTCAAAATAAATGCATTCATTCAAATCATGGAAATTAAAGAGGAGTAACTTGTGTAGCAGATGTATCATATCCTACATCTCAATTGGCAGGAGATCGACAAGCACGTTAGCCATAACAGTGGCTTTACTCAACTGCGGTGGCCAAGGCACTTGTAAGAGGAGACATGAGGCTTTTTAAAATGTATTTATTTGTACATTGTTTGTCTGAAGTAAACAAATGCGGATTAGCAACATAGGCTTTCTCCCGCAGTCCAAAGACATGCATGATAGACCTAACATACATGTCTGTCCCTGTCCGCTACATTTCTGCCCCAACTCCAACTATCTGCACATCTCGTTTTCGGTCTTTAGATTAGCAACGTAGGCTTTCTCCCGCAGTCCAAAGACATTCATGATAAACATAACATACATGTCTGTCACTGTCCGCTACATTTCTGCCCCTAACTCCAACTATCTGCACATCTCGTTTTCGGTCTTTCTCTTCATGGAAATTAAAGAGGAGTAACTTGTGTAGCAGATGTATCATATCCTACATCTCAATTGGCAGGAGATCGACAAGCACGTTAGCCATAACAGTGGCTTTACTCAACTGCGGTGGCCAAGGCACTTGTAAGAGGTGAGGCTTTTTAAAATGTATTTATTTGTACATTGTTTGTCTGAAGTAAACAAATGCAGATTAGCAACGTAGGCTTTCTCCCGCAGTCCAAAGACATTCATGATAAACATAACATACATGTCTGTCACTGTCCGCTACATTTCTGCCCCTAACTCCAACTATCTGCACATCTCGTTTTCGGTCTTTCTCTTTGCCTCCTACCTGGCAATTCCATTTCCAGCATCCTTCTATCGCTATATCTTCTGCCACGACCTCTCATGTCCAAAGCATCTCAATCTGGCCTCTCTAGCCTTGTCTCCAAACCTTCTGGGCTGCGCTGTCCCACTGAAGAGCTCGTCACTGCTTCAGAGAATCTCAGCATCTTCAACTGTGCCACATCGAAGCTCTGTCTCCTGGCCACCTACCACCTCAAAACCATACAACAAGGCCAGTCTGATTACCTCCTGCAAAGCTGTTTTAATGTGAAGTTCATTGAGGACTCTTTAAATCGTCCGTAGGTGCAAATGATGAGTGTGATGAGATAGAAGAGGCTCTGACTCCCTGCAGCACAGGCACTAATGAAATTATGTTACTCTAAATACTTGAACAAGCAAGCAAGCCAAAAATAAAAACAAACAAACAACAACAACACAGAGAGAAAACACAACAGCAATTTCATTTTGTTGTTTGTCAGCACTAATGAAATTATGTTACTTTAATACTTGAACAAGCAAGCAAGCAAGCAAAAAATCAAAACAAACAACAACACAGAGAGAAAACACAACAGCAATTTCATTTTGTTGTTTGTCTATGTGTGCCTCGCGATTGGCTGGCGACCGGTTCAGTGTGTACCTTTGCCGACTGCCCCAAGTCAACTGAGACGGGGAATAATCAGATGTTGTAAACTGCCACCTGGTGGACAATGCATGTACAGCGGAAGGAGCCACACAATGAATGCAAGAACTGCACAAATTATTTATATTTTTACAGATACTGTTTTTTTTTTAATACAGTACAATACTGTAATTTTAGAGTAAAACTTAATATTGTTCTTATTAAACTTGAGGGTGTTTTGACTATTTTTACAGATACTGTTTTTTTATACAGTACAATACTGTAGAGTGTATTTTTAATATTGTTCTTATTAAACTTGAGGGTGTTTTGAGTTATGAATGTGGTCACTCAACAAATTATCAGAAACTTCTAAGTCAAGGCAACCACCGCTGTATTTTAATTCACCCCCTGGAAAAAAAAAGAGGAGGTTGTTTGAGGTGAGGTGTTAATTTTTAAGGGTGCAATGCATGCACCCGGCATTTAATCGAGGCATGGCATCGTTTAAGGGAATATTGGTACTCGTCGACCACAGAAATAAGGAGCACCTGAACTGCTCTTACCGCTTTTCGCGTCTTTGGAAACGTCTCTTTTTTCAGGGAGGTCTGTCGTACCATCTGGGAGGCTTTTGTTCCCTTCGAGTTGATCATCTGAGATGTCCTCCTCCTCGTCTTCCTCCAACTCCTCTTCCTCCCCTTGGTCCTCATCGTCGTCGTCATCTTCTTCATCATCACCGTCTGGGTCTTCGTGACTAGCATCGTTCTCATCCTCCTCTTTCTGTATAAAAATATGAGCTAATGAGATATTTTGATCGGTGGGAATGGACTGTGAGGGTTAAAAAAAAAAAAAAAAAAAAGCAGGGAAAGCCGAGTCACCGTAAACACAAAGAGACAACTAGAAGATTCAAAAACCCAAAGTACAAGCAACTCTATTGATAAATCTAAATATACATGGAGACAGATGACTACCCGCTACAAAAACGAATCGTGCCAGCACGGTGACACCTTCTCCGTATCTTCTGAAGCTCCCTACCTCATCGGGCGAGTCCAAATCAACATCGTCAATGTCGGTGTGAGGCAACGGTTCGGAAAACACGCTTCCATCCGGGAGATCGCCAGCAATTTTGCTTGACGCAATAATGGCCATCTTCTCTTTGTTGAGTTTGTTTGAGGACTCTTCAACGGGCGGATCGGTAGCCCCGCCTTGTGGGGAACGTTGCAAATTAGTTGTGGTGGAAGGATTCAGCTCAGGTTGATCATCAGCTGGTTGGCCGTGCGAGGGTTTGGATGGTTGGACTCGGCTTCTGGTGGTGTTTTCGCTGAGGGTTTCTGGGCGGTCATTTTCATTGGATTCCAGAGAGGATTCAACCAACTGCTCCTCTGATGTCACTTTTGCATGAATTTCGGCAACTGTTGCCCCGTCTTCTTCTGATGAGGAGTCCCAATCAGATTCTGCTGTTGATGGTCTGTTCTTGAAACGGGGAGAGGGAGGTGGCGCTATTTCGTCAAGGGGCGTTTGTGGATCATGGGGTGTTCTGGGCCGTGAGCTGGTCCCTCCTGGCGATGTAGCCTCGCCGCCTTTTGGACAGGTGGTCCTGTTCGTGATGTCATGGTGTTCCTCACAGCCGTCACTGTCTGTTCCCTCTAAGGAGGAGCCCCATGATGATTTGCGTTTTTCATTTTTGGAAACGCCATCTTCCGTGTCGGGTTCGCCGTCTCCCTTTGTGCCTTCTGCCAGCATATTTCTTTGACTTGTTTGAGGATGGACCTGAAGGCTCGTTTGTTTGTTGTCATCACGCTCCTTTGCCAAATCGTCCATCTTACCCCCGTTTGCCATTTGTGCGCCGGGCCTCGCGCTGCGCTTCGAAACGGTCGTTTGATTCGGTGACAACATGAATTCGTCATCCTCGTCGGAATATTTCGATTCCACTCTAATGGCTGACACGACCAAATCCTGGTCCGCGTCCAACGACTGCAACATCTGAGAACGTGACATTCCAGATGCTTGCGAAGGATTATCTGGAGTCACACTGGCGCTACTGGGAATACGATCAGAACGACATTTTTGTGGAGCTTTCCCACTATCAAGATCGAGTTCCGCAAGGGGGGGATTTTGCGCGTCTTCTGAAGAAGAAGTGTTCGACTGAACAGAAGCTATATAAGAGTCATCCTCACTTTCCTCCTCCTCCTCCTCTTCTATCTCTTCACTTTCCTCATTATCTTCATCCTCCTCCTCCTCCTCTTCTTCTTCATCTTCCTCTACTTCCTCTTCTTCCTCAGAGCCATCGTCTTCCGATTTCTGGGCTTGAGATTCGGAACTTGACTCACTTCCTGACAGTCGCTCTATCATACCACGGTTTTCCTCGACAGGTTCCGACAGACGCTTGGCTTGTTGAAATATTTAGAGGGGGGCAAGGGGGAAAAAAGGAGAGGAACGGCATCAAAGGAAAGCGACAGAATCATAAACAGAAACATGTACCTTTGAGTAGATTAGGAGAGGGGTAGAGGTCATCTGGGAGGCTTTGGGAAGGAAAGGAGCAGGTGAGGGTCCTACGGGGGGCTTTGGGGGTTTACTGGACGCAACTCTCGGGGCACTATTGTCACTGTCAGACTCAGAAGCACTCATGGATTTGTCGAGCACTGCAAAGGCTATGAATGTTATGAATTCAATTACCATCGACACCAAATTAACTTTTGGGAGGATTGCGCAGAAAAATTGTTGGCAAGTACCTTTTCCTCTTTTAGATTCGAGCATTTTCCTGAGGTTCATTTTTGGTGGAGTCTGAAAGGAAATTGGAAAAAAAATAAAATAAAGAAGCCCACTTAAAAAAAAAAAGCATACAGGAGGTCACATGTAAACAAACATTGATTAAAAAACATTGACTTTTTACATTTCAGTACAATGTTGATGTTGACTTGACCGACCTTTTCAACACTGAGTGACTCGCAGTCGTCATCAGAGGAAGCCCATTCATCGGCGACGCCTTTTTTTGACACCCTATAATCACAGGAAAGAAGAGTTGGAAGGTGGACGGTCACTAACGCGTGTACTTTTCATGTAGTGAAAAGGAATCAAAGCTCACCGGCTTAGTGACTCTGCTTGAGAATTCTCCTCCAAGTCTGAAACAATGCAGGGACCTTTAAAAAAACGGACTCACGACAGATGGAATGCCATTTTACATATAAATCAACTCTAGTACGGTTTCCACTGAGCACAACTCTTCGGTTTAGTCAACATTTTTGCCAATAGCAATAATAGTTATGACCATAAAAAACAATTATATTTAAAAGCACATCTTAAAGCGACCCTGAAAAATGTTATACATGATTTATTTTAGTCACCTATTAATCCGATATTTGTGTTGTTTTTAACCACTGGTGCAAAGTGTCACTGAGTGTTAGGAATACATACACAAAAAATATGACAATCATTAAAAAAAAAAAAAAAAGAAAGAAAAGAAAGAAACCGCTTTGCGGCGCTCTTCAATTGGCGTCCCACAGTTGGAAAGGAAAGGGCGCGGCTTAACACATTGCAGCCAGTTAACTGGTGGACGGCAAACGGTCGCTTCCTTGTGAACGGGAAGGAGCTTGCTCACCATAAAGAGTCACATGCGGAGAAGAAGCCTTAAGCATTTGTCGCACGCACCCAGATCGGGGTTGACTAACTTATCCGAAGCGTATCATGAGCTGAACTGAAGTGAACGGCCCGGCGATGGCATTTCATGATCTTATATATAAACTATTCACCATCTTTGTCGGTGGCCGGTCCTCCCACAGGGAAGCCAGTTTCAATGGCTCGGGATGCCTTGCCCAACTCAGATTTCAACTTCTTTTTGCTTGGACCAGGATGAGACAGAGAGGCAGCCTGGTTCCTTTGGGCACCGTGCTCAGTAATGAGGATGGCGCAGCTGCAACAGAGTCAAGACACTGAGATTGACGGCAAGCTAGAACCTGTCAGGTTGACATTTAAGCAGAGGCTTCATTAGAGTATAAATCACTTTTGGTGTCAGTTCTTGACTGGTCCAAATCGAAACTTACGGGTGGTGGCCTTCAATCACTGCGTAATCCTCGGCCGAGTGTCCTTTGTTATCCTTCAGAGTAATATCTGCATGAAACTGCAAGAGCAGTCGCACCATGCTGACGTGACCATTGCCAGCAGCTATCATTAACGCCGACCTGTAGTTTTTTTCAGAGGCCGCGCACAAACAAAGCCATTTATGAAGCTGCATTAGAATGGTTTCAATACTGTACATTCCGTGAGTCATTATTTGGCACCGACCTTCGATCTCTGTCCAAAATATTGACGCCAGCACCTTTCTTCAACAGAATCTCGGCCACTTCGATGTGGTCCCCTTGGACTGCCACCGTCAGCGGAGAAATGCCCTCCTAAAAATGAGATTTTGCCATAAAATATAGATCAATAAGACCGTCGTTTCTAACTGATCTCATCTTGTAATAGCAATTAAAACAATGGACCAATGTGCATGTTAAAAAATTTGATTTTTCTTTATGGCTTTCGATTCTCAGTCATCCAGGTCATAGTATTCTGCAAACGACGAATCAAAAGCAACTGGACAGGTTTTTATTTTTTATTTTTTTGGTCCCACATTCAAATATGATGAGGGCAATGATGCTATATAGGCCAACGATATGAAGAAGAAGGAACAGGCTATGGAACCTTGGATGGATGGAAGATAGACTACAAAAGCACATGGAAAATAAAACTGTTCCCTGGATATGAGAACACTGAGATTTACACTTCAAGACAACTATAGTGAATCAGTATTCCACTGTACCGCATATACTTCTCATCATATTGGCCACAAAGCCTTTATCCAAAAGCCATTGGTTGTTTTTTCTAGCCTTATGTCCGCAAACGCTACCAAAGTCCGGCAATAATGGCACCCACCTTATTCTGGGCATCGATGTCAGCGTCATGATCCACGAGGGCGTCAACGGTGGAGACGGACGGAATGCTTGAGGCTAAATGTAAAGCCGAGTTTCCCTCGTTGTCCACCAGGTTGGGATCAGCGTGGTTTTCCAACAGAATATTAGCACAGAGTTCATACTGGCCTTGCACTGCCTGATAAAATGAGGGAGAATTGACATGATGGTGAAAATCGTTGATGTTCATCGAAAATGTCAACTTATCCAAGTGTCTCCAGGCTGACAGTACCTTCATTAAGGGGGACCTATTTTGATTGTCACATAAATTGAGCTTGGCTTTTTTCTCCACAAGAAATCTCACCACCTCAGCATGTCCGCAGGCACAAGCGAGGTGAAGGGCTGTTCTGTAGGATAAAAGACAATATTCATAATGGAATTAGATTTATATGCAATACTGGTTTAGCGGTGATGCAATTAGTTTAAAAGAGGAGCATGGGAAATTGATATTTTAATGACATGAATACAAACAGTTGGGTCTTTTGAGTGCCCACTTCATGATCAACTGTGAAATAAAACAAGTAAATGTGTCATCTATTTCTGAAAATGCATCTAAGTTAGCCCTTATGGAAAATAGTGGAGATCATTTACATAAGAAATTAAAAGAAAGCATATTACGTCTACTTTAATACCCTGATTACTTCAAATATATTATGAATTGTTGTAACATCAAGAAAATAAATAAAACACAGACGATATCAGTTTATTAAATCCGATATGTGTCAAATTCAGCGTTCCGATCCACCAAACATAGAAAAGAGAATCTGAAATCAACGACGTCCTCCTATGCGGTACAAAATAAAACAGGGTGTGCCAAAAGCTGCTTTTTGTCACGAAAATGAGAGTATTACAGCGGTCGGAGGTGGAGAAGGTAACTATATTAAATGTTGATTAACGTTCGTACTAATTTCAAGAAAAGTTCTGAAATGACTCACTCGTTAGATAACAATAATCGTGGTTTGAAGTAATTCGGGAGAATTTGCTCAAATTTAGACTTTCGGATTGATGATTAACATGGCTGGATATTTTGAGGTGTAGTTGAACAAGAAGAAATTGGAGCCCTCACTGACCTGTTGTGCTTGTCCAACTGATTGACATCATTGCTCTTGACGAGATGCTCCAGCTTGGCCACATCTCCGCGCCAGGCAGCCTTGTGAAACTTGCCCAGGTCTTTCTCTTTCACCTCGTAGCCCACAGAAAGCGCGTTGCCCCTGTCGGTCGTACGGGACGGCGATTGTTTCTTCTTGGAGAAACTGAATAATTTCTTCATGCTGAAAGCTTCGCCGCCGCTGTCTGTCTGCGACTTAAAACGGAGAGAGGGGATCACCACTCGCGCCTCTCATGCCAAACAAATAACTGAGACGTCCAAAGCGGATTAACCTCGGGAACCGTCGTTGGAGTACGACATCGTTTGACACGACTTTCCGAAATACGGTCACGTCGAGTCATGTCGCGCAACTTTACCGCTCACGCAGCGGAATAATTGTTTTTATTTGAATGGAACGCTTCAGACGAGCCAAGGAGACCGCCACAAGTGGCGCTTCAGCGCTGGAGTGTAGACGTACTTGCGCATGCGCATGGGCCCCTATTTCTTCTTCTACTCTGGCTTTATTGACAGATTTTATCCAGCAATTTGTACTACAGCGCTACCCTCAGTTCCGGAACGAAATAACAATACATGAGGAAATAAAATGTATATACTGCCTTATCCTTCCACGGATTTTACATTTAAAAAAAGTACATCTCACGGTTCGCAACTTAACGAAAATGTCACAAAAAATGGTTACACGAGTTAATAATAATAAATGATACACAACAACCAAAAATCACGATATGATATCACGAGATGAACCTCACCATACGTATCACGGTATTGTGGGAGGGTCAGCAATATGAAAAAAGCTCATGTACAAATATATTTTCTGTTTTTTAAAAATCTGATGAATTTAATCAAATGAGACAATTCGCTGCAGACCACCTCTCATGGCATTCTATTGTGCCGCGAAACACTGAATCGGTGTAGTACCGTACTCTACAGTAGAAGAAAGAATTTACAATCACGTGACGTTCTTATATGAAAAAATGTCATGAAAAGATATAGATTCCATGTGATTATCACAAAAAAATACATTAAAAACCAGCATACTTTACAGTTGAAAAAACACACAGATCGTATCAACCGCTAACTCAGTGGCTTTTAAACTTTTTACATCAACTACGTCTCCCCCCAAAAACTTAGCTCTATTAATACCGCCGACATGACCAAAAACAAAATACCACCATTGCCATTGCCGCTGGTTTTATAGCGGGTCACTTTTTGTTCTTTTTTTTTCTACATAGTCACAGTTGGGGTCGGAAAAGTCACTAAATTAACAAAAGTGAAAATAGGTTGCTGCTTTACTGACTGAGTACTGTTTTTATGTAATTAATGTATTGTTTGAACTGCTTTTGTTTCTATATGTCTGCTTTTTACTTTATGTACAACACTTTGTATGTATATTTGGTTGTTTTTAAATAAAGTTGAGTTGAGGATGTGACCTGTGGGCCGTATTATGCCCGGGTCTGCTCTCATCCCTGTGACTGAAGTGTAATCAATTGTATGTGTGATATCACTGCTAAAGGCTACATCTGTGAGTACGAAGAGCCACAATGGCAGCAGTAGATCGTAAACTGTAGTGGGAGGCTTTGTAATTAAGGAATAAATGAATGGCGGGAGTAGCCCAAGGCTTCCAGGGTCTGTCTGAGAACTGACTGATCGTGTTTGACTACATGCAATTAGCTTCCTCAAACAAAAAAAAACCCTTCCTCACATTAGTGCAAAGACAACACATTTAGCACTCATTGTTTCCAAACAGCGAGTACACCTTTGATTTATTGTCACCTTGCTTGTTCCACCGCACAGAACCCAAATTCCATTCTGGTCGCCAGCCATTCTCAGGGCAAACATAGGCTGTGTCCAAATTCACAGGTTGGTTCGTCCGAAGGGCCCGTTTTCGGGCTCACGATAAAAACAAATGCACATTCATTAACCGTGTCCAAATTCGCCACGGCTTATGCGGAAGAGCCTTTGAAGGCGTCGAAGAACCCAGCCTTCGAATTGTGTTTCCAAAGGGTGGAAACCACTGCGCCTCAAGTGATGTTGTTTGGATAAAAAAATGCGACCTTCGGATGATGCGGCCTGTGAATTTGGAGCGATGGAGGCAAACACAAACAACCATCGCCAACATCACTCAGGCGCAAACGATTCCAAGGTGCCCGTGAGGCGTTTTGGTTTAAAAAATAATTGTAATTCATTAGCATTTTTCATCTGCTGACCGATGACACCTGGGATAGGCTCCAGCACGCCCGCGACCCTAGTGAGGATAAAGCGGATTAGAAAATGTACGGACGGATGGATAGTTTTCAATGAAGTGCAGTTTGGTTTTGCCACATTTGGCCACTAGGCGTCGCCATGGCACCACGCATGAATCTACTGTCGCGACATCTCTTTGGCGTTGCGGTATTGCAACCAACCGTTCACTGAAATGACAATTGATTTGATCTTCTCAACATAAACAACCATTAAATCATGGATTAGAAATACAAACAATAAAAATATTTCATCAAATCAAAGTCAGACTGATCGTGTTTGACTACATGCAATTAGCTTCCTCAAACAAAAAAAAACCCTTCCTCACATTAGTGCAAAGACAACACATTTAGCACTCATTGTTTCCAAACAGCGAGTACACCTTTGATTTATTGTCACCTTGCTTGTTCCACCGCACAGAACCCAAATTCCATTATACCAAAGTAACTTGAAAAGACAACAGGGAAAAACCATTAAAGTGCATGCAAATGAAATTCCTTTTTTAAATGATAAAATACATATATATATGTTTTTGTTTTTTGCAGAATGTAATTCTGCTTTAGATGCAGGTATTTTTCTTTCTTTTATTGTATCCTGCCTCCAACGACAAGGATCCAGAGCTCATTATTGCCGCAAGATCTATACTTACAGACCCGCTCATATATAATTTGGCAGAGTGGGTCATTACCTGAGGAAACAGAAGCTAACTCATTGAAGAAACCACTTTAGTTGGGTGTGTCCCAGTAGGATGTCCTGCTTAAAAGGCCACATGCAGTTTTTACAGTGATCGAATGACCATCAGTCCTGCTCTGTTGATTCAGGTCAGTTGTGGATGTGTGCGTGTGTCTGTTGGTGGGACGGGTGGTGGAGGCACAACACACACCTGAAAATTATAAGAAAAAGCAAAAAGCGGATGCAAAAGCAACGCTAATGTGTTCCAACAAGAAATGTGAGGAAACATCTGGTACTAGTTGTTCCTTTTGTGTCTCATGCAGACGGAGGATTGTGTGGGGGTGGGGGGGTGGAACATAATACACCCAAGTGGACTTTTTTCGGTGTTTATTTGAGACCTTAACCTTCAAATGCCTATAATTAGTGCTTTGACATGTAGCGTGTGTGAGTTTTAAGTAGAAAGTGCAGGCAGGAGCTGGCTACCGGGGTTATGGGACATCCACCTCTTCCATTTGCACCTGCAATTTTTTGGGGGCATCATGTTTAGGTGCTTTTCCTCGGGCATCAACTGTAACAACGAGCGTAGGCAGGCGTGTTCCCTTTGTTTGGGGGGGGGGGGGGGGGGACAG